CTTTAAATATGAAAAAGTCTCAGATTTCAAATTCTGTCCATTGTATTGCAGTATTCAAACAATAAATGCCGTTTTGGCGCTGTTTAATGTGGAGTGACAGATCGCTGTAGCGCCTCAGTTCAATAGACGCAGCAGCGTGAGGGCGCACGTGAACTGATCAGATCTCCTCCACATACATACCAGTTTCAGCACAAAATAAATATGACTAAACATCCAAAGGCAAGTTAAAAGAAAGAGTACAACTTTACAATCCGTATCTTGTCTCATGTAATCGCTCAATCTGTGTTTCAGCCGCACGAAGACGTCAATATAACAGCTAAGTTAAACAATTAATGTAACATCACATTTACCTCAGAAAGCATATTTGGTGACCATAAACTCGTTAGTCAGCTAAGTTAGAAAAATAAGCTGTAGAGAGGGGTATTTTCTAAATATACGCACCATATAACATTCATTATAATCGTTTACTGTTCTTTAAATGTTTTATTAGAGTGACGGAAATGTTACGCCCCTTACCATATTGTGATGCCCTGTCCGGCCGGAGCAACGAGACAAACATTAAAACCCATTATAAATGAGGCATTTGTTGCATCCAGTGGGGACATAATTACGGATTATAATGACTTATACCGTCTTTTCTGCTGCGTTGCATCACGCCGCGTAAACATAAAACCATGTCTGCATTTGTGATCGGAGAAATGACAAACAACAAGTGCTACTCTACACTGCTCAAAACTCGCATTTTAATCATCAGTGAATAGTCAAATTCTTTAAATATAAAAAACGTACTTACAGTCTGTGAGTCAGAACAGCCGGCATTGTAGTCTACTCTACCAGGATCAGGAAACAGTCCTCCATAAAATGCGCTGGACACATCTGAATATTTGGGTTGAACTGTTCTGGAACAGTGTTGTAAATACAACTTAACCACTGATTTCTAGTCATGTCCATTTTTGGAAGGCCAAACAAAGTAATTTCGCTTTCACAACGAAACACAGCATCACACACGAAGATAAATAGATAAAGTACAATACAACGTAGAACATCGAAATTTTATTAACAAAACGAAAAAAAATATAGGGCTGGGACAATAAATCGATGCATCACGTTTCGTGGACCGATTCTGAGATTTTCGGAATGCATCGTGATTCTCTCTCGAATCAATTCTGAGCTTAGTTTTTAACAGCAGATGGCGCTCTAGGCTAGTTTTTAACTGCACACTCAAATGCTCACGAAGAAGAGCGCTTGTGCATTCGGCTGAGTAATTTAAGTGGTTAAATGTACTTACACATCGGCTTTTATGCTTTTATGATGCGAGATTAGTGCAAACACAGCCCACTGTGAACATCCTTGTAATTCGCTTCAACCTTTTCGAACTTTATGAATGATTATTTTAGGTTTAAATGGTGCGTGTGTAAGGAACTGGAAGCAAGCAGAATATGTATATTTCTAAAGCACGCAGTGCCATCTGCTGTTAAAAACTAAGCTCAGAATCGATTCAAGAGAGTATCGCGGTGGCCTTCGGAAAATCTCAGAATCGATGCAGAATCATTTTTCGATTCGCGATGCATCGATTTATTGTCCCAGCCCTATAAAAATACACCATGCTATATGCCTAATATAAAATAACAAATAACTTACACAAAGTTTAGGTATACAAAACTGAAGATCAGTAAACACTGTGGAACCAAATAAACAAGGATGTTTTTTTATGTTAAAAAAAAATCTTCCAATATCACCTTAGATAAATGGCACAAGACAACAGGCTTTTCAAAATCCAAAATATTTTTAAAACCGGTGCTTTTGCACGTCGTTTTGAAACTTCTGAAATCATCTTGTCTGTCTCACCTCACGTGATAAATGAAAACTGGACATTGATCAGCCGTGTTCAATTTTAATTGTAGTGTCTGTTCTCTAACTGAACTAAACGATTTTTATTAATATATAAAATCTGAAAACGGCAGTGGGGGCGGTGTCGCGGTGTGCAAGTGACATAACCGGTGTATTCACGGTCTATTCACAGCAACCCTAGTACACAAGAATCATACTTCATATCAAAACATTAAACAAGTACAAGTACTTTGTAAGTGTGTTTGAGTTAGAGAATGACTGCCTTGACTGACATTTCAGTTAATAGAATGTATAAGGCTGTGTGTGCTTGCTGGTGAGTTTCCCCCCTCATTGTTGCAAGTAAGTATGCACTGATTGAATGGCCACCAATTTTTATCAGCCAATATTTGTCTCCTGTGATTGGCTGATCTAAACTCAGGACTCATCTTTTATTAGCTGCAGCACATAGGAAATCACACATACTGTACAATGCTATTCTAATGACTAAAGGGGTGAATCATTTGCAATTTCACAAATTCAACAAACATGCTGTAATTCAGATGAATTTGCCGGTTTGTTCTAAAAACAAATATTAATAGCGGTATTCTGATATTTTTTTTTTTACACAGAATGCATGAGTTTATACAGAGATATACATTTAACCATGTTTATAGTTTAGGCATCAATAACTACATCATGTCTTCATGATGATGATTCCTAATAATTGTTAGAAAACACCAACATCAAAAACAAATAAGATACTAAAAAATGTCTCACTTGAGCAGTTTTGGAACTTGTAATTACAAGTTACATGTAATAGATATACTGCTGTGTGTGACAAGGGTCACTTACAGCTAAAACAAGACTTGAGCTTAAATAGCAGGGTTTCATGACCTCTTAAAAATAAATATTGGTGATTAACATTGGCTGATCTTATTGTTAAAAAAATAGGTGATCACATCTGCCACAAATTTCCTGATTGGTGCACCACTAGTTGTAAGGTTTGCATGTCCCAGAGTGAGAAAAGGATTTCTCTGTGCATAAATAAACAACGTTATTGATCTCGTAGTGTGAGCGCATAACATGATCAAAAGCAGTGTAAGCGGCATAATGTGTAATATCCTCCATATGTTCCGGGTTGAATCAATCTCATATTTTGCCACACGTCTGACAATCGCAAAAGACGACCCAGAGAGATCAGTGGTGTCATGGAAAGCTTGCGTGTCAGATGCATCACTGGTGGCAGGTGCCTGAAAACTGAAGTTCACTTCTAGCACCCATGCAGCTGGTGTTCTACATGTGCACTGTTGAAACTGAAGTCTGGATGTAGAATAGTTGAAGTGTTTGCACACAGTGACATCCAATCGAACCAAAAGAGCCCAGCACTGATATTACCAATACACAAACACTCAATATCAAAAGTACCACTGGTGACGAGTAGGGTTGGGTATCGTTTGGGTTTTTTTCCATACCGGTGCCAAATCGATACTTTTAAAATGGTTCCGGTGCCTGAACCGATACTTATTAAAGAACAGAGAAAGAATAGAGAATTCTAGTGTTAGAGGCTCTTTTTTCTTTATAAATAAAACAAGCAGTTAGAATAGAAATAGGATAGAGAGTGCAAATGTTAGAGGATCAAGTTTTTTTATAAAAAAAAAACAAGCAGATAAAATTAGAAGTAGCATTAGAATAGAGAGTGCTAGAGTTAGAGGGTCAAAAAAAAACGCGGGAGCGAAACACATGTTGCGCGAGCAGGCGGCAATGGTCAGAGATTCAGCGGGAGGGGGATTAAGAAAACGGCCGAATCCCGGACATTTTGGACAATTAAGAAATCCCGGTCGGACGCATTTTTGTAGGACCAAAAAGAGAACATGTCCGTGGAAAAGAGGACGTATGGTCACCCTACTTAATAATCTATTGCTAATCGCTGTATTTTTTAAAGTAGCATACGGAACATATTTTCAGCCTCATTTTCTCAGTCGGGAAATTCTTTTTCACGTGTGGTGCCAGTGATGATGCTTCTTACGTCCGTTTCGGAGAACCGGAGGAAATATTTAAATCGATCGCTCAGGCATGGCACCGAAATGAGGCCCCGAAATGAGGCACCGAAATCTGCGTTCTGATTCGGTTCTAGTACATACCGGTTACATAGGTACCAGTGCCATATTGGTACCGGGTTTCGGTAGCCAACCCTAGTGCCGAGTCAATACCGAAGTTTTAAAAATGCAACAATACAAGTTATAATCAAGTACTGTGTCAATTTGTTACTTGCTGATAGGCGATTGCTTTCAAATGCTCCTGTATATTTGTTTGCACGTTCTGTGAAGAGCATCAAGTTCCTATTTACAAATTTTTTTAATGTTGAGTATTGTAGTCAATCACATGATGCGACACTCTCACAAGCAGTTCTAATGGTGTGTGCACACCAAAAGCGAAGCGAATAATGCATCGCCTTAGCGCTCTAGATTACTCGTGGGGCGTTTGTTGTGTCACTTGGACGAAAACATCGTGCAATGCTCTCCTCTATTTTCGGATACATCCGGACATCTCAAACCGGACATATAAATAAGCTCTTCGCTCATTGGCTTGCGTATATCACGCTTTATATCAGGCTTTCACAGCAACCACGGCATTCAATTCGCATCGCCCGGCACAAATTCGCATCTATTCATTGTTCATTAACTGTTCATTCTGCTTAGCACTCTACCATAGCAATGGATGGAACAAAGAAAAAACTGATAGTGCATGTCAAAATAGATCTGCGATTCAAATCGGAGTATAAATATAAACTATCAGACCTGACACCTGCTCTATGCAATGGGTCTCTTTGTTCTTCTTTTTATTACTATATGTTCACTAAAATGTTTTAAAGTAATGTTTGTTTAGTTAAGTGAAAAGATTTGCAGGCTATATTGTTCAAATTTATCACTTATCATTTATAAGTTTTTTTTTCCTATGGTACCAAAATTGTTACTTTGTATAGACAGACTACTGACATTTTGGTATTGTGACAACACTAGTCTCAAGAAGACTGCCTACACCAACCTTCAGATGTTTAGTCTCCTATTTTGTCTAACTTGGGAATTCCATACCATGAATTCCATACCGTGTTTACTTGTTTGGAATTTGGAATATTGCCTTAAAAATACAGAAGCAGTTTGAGCACTCACTTGCTAGTTTGGCCTGCAGTCCGGAGGGCCCAGGCTTGGAGGAGGTCTCAGCCTTGGCCGATCCCGGCAGGGACAGTTTGGGCTTTGGCAGGTTGACTTTGGAGTTGAAGCGGGATGTCCAGTCAAACTTGGAGGAGCCAGCAGCCTTGCTCTGCTCTTTATCCCGGCTGCTCCTTCGGGGAGAAGGGGAGGACGCAGAGCGTGACCGTCGCGCTTTGCTCTGGTCCTTGCCCTGTTTTAGCCGGGCACCCTGAGGGGCGCAGCTGTTGGCGCCTGTGGCGGCCGAGGAGGAAGAGGAGGAGGAGGAAGAGGCAGAGGAAGAGGCAGAGGAAGAGGAGGAGTCAGTCACGGTGCTACACCCAGCTTTGGCTGAGGCGGCCGATTTGGACGCCAGCTTGGGGGGTTTGGCTGCCCGGCTGGCCTCGCTGCGGGGTGGCAGGGGGCCTGCCGCGCTGCTCGAGCTGGGGAGGGAGGAAGAAGAGGAGGATGACAACGAAGAGGCGTCTGCCTTCTTACGCTTTTGAGAGGGGGTGCTTGAGGCCCCAATAGGGCCAGGGTAGGACACGCTCTTCTTGCTCAGGGCTCTGGCGGGAGCCGGCTCGGCTGCTAACCGTCTCTTTTTGGACTTGGTGCTGACAGTCGCTGGAGCCTTCCTCGGCTCTGTAACTTCAGATGAGGTTGTGGGGGCCGATGGCCCACTGGATGAACTCTCCAAAAGGTGGCTGGACACCGCTTTGGGCCGTTTGGCCGGGCTGGGCGAAAAGGTGATGTTGGGCTCTGAAGCTGAGCTGCGTTTGAGAGCACGGGTGCTGCTGCCCTCCTGTCTCCCCTGCTGGCCAGAAGTCCCTGCTGCTTCCAACTCTGGATCTGGAATAGAGTGTGAACCCACGGATAAAGAGAGGCTGTTCCTGTAAAAACAAACAGAAAGGGGAAAGACTTGAGTACCCAAGACAGAGCAGTCGTCAGAAGGTGAACTTGCGTCACAAAAGACCCACACGCAATACAGGAGGAAAAAGGGATACCTTCGAGAGGCGTGGCCGCGGGCGGAGCCGATGGCAAAGCTGGGCGGGGTTTTGGAAGCCTTAGAATTAGATCTTCTATTTTCAGGTGGGAAATTTGCTTTTTGGTTTACTTGCTCTGGCTGCAACCTGGAGAGGTTGGGAATTAAATAGCAGAGAGCAGTGTGGGATGGGCAGTGAATGAGGAACACCTCAAATTCAATTTCACAAGCTGACTACTTCTGCAGTCCTACAGCACTTCCTACACACCCGTCAACCCAACGGCAAAGACAAACAACAATCATTACGAGTTTCTATCTGGACATTTCTCACAAGTTGAGAGCATCACTGAGTTGGGCAGCTAAACTATTAGCCATTTGTCACTGGAGGACATAAAGAACTTGTTTGAAAGAGAAGAGACAAAAGTATCCCCGTAAGTGTCGAACATCTGTGCATCAGGCCTAAAAGAGAGACACACTGTCAGTCTTCCCTGCACTGCTATTCAGCAAAGATGCCATGCTACAACTGAATCTATAGCACTACGGCAAAGAAAATGATATTTTATTCAAGTTGAGAGTTTGCAGTGTGAATCGAATGTGACTAGAGAGACAGACTGAGCACCCTAAAATAACTAACATATATTTATTTCTACTGTTGATATCACATAACCAATATAGTCTGCATCCTGAACATCTTATTCTTATTAGATGGCCATGCCTTGAGATCAAAAGTTATCCAATTACACTAACGTTCAATAGTTTGGGGTCAGTAGTTTTTTTTTTTTTTGGAAAGAATGTAATATTTTAATAAAACAAGGACATACTGAATCGATCAAAAGTGGCCATATTTATAATGTAATGAAGATTTCCATATCAAATCAATGCTGTTTTGGAACTTTCAATTCACCAAAGAATCCCGGGGAAAAAAAATATTAAGCTTTCCAAAAAACATATATATTAAGCAGCACAACTGTCGTCAACATTATTGATAATAAAGGTTTCATTAATCAAAACCGTTAAGGAACCATTACAGATGCACTTAGTAATATTTTGTTTATGTCGCAGTGGTCAACATGGCTGTCACCTTGGATTGATAAAGAAACCTAGCGATGTGTCACACAGGCAGAAACGATTTAAAATAAAATCAGTCAGATATTATTAATTTATGCTGAGAGTAAAAGTATCCAATAAAAGAGCCTTACTGAGATTAAAAAGTGGTACTGGAAAGGTCATGTGACCTCAACATTGTAACTGTTGCACAAATAGAATTCTGCAGGTACAACTGCTCTAGATGCAGATAGGTAGATAAAAGGTACACGTACAGACCTAAACCAAGGACGTATTCAGCACTTTGGTGCAAAGTTTGGCAATTGCATACTCACCTTCCTGCAAGTGTGTGGTCTATTGGCTGGGCCGCGGCTGTGTTCCTCTGTGAACGGCGCAGTGACCCCCCTGGATTGGAATTAGGCCGGTTGGACATTGGCACCTCTCTCCTGAAGGGACATACCCTTTCTAGACACTACCATTCACTGGTAACAAAGTATAAAGAGACAAAAAAGGAAGGTTAGTTGAGATATGTTGTGTGAATGTTCTCAATGGTCTTGCGAACCAATTTTGGACAAAAGCCATTCTGTACTTGTATCCACCAGTCAGTTATATCCTATATGGACTATATCTACTCTGACTGGTGAACAAAGCGATCTTAGTCTCACTGTATAACCATACAACCAAATGATCAATTCATCTCCATTCTGTCTCGTCCAAACAACCATGACCAAATGCACCTCCTGTTCTATTTATGTAAAGTAGGGATGCACCGATAACGATACTGGTATCGGGCCCGATACTGAGCTCCTGTACTCGTACTCGTTAAAATGCCCCGATACCAAATGCTGATACCACACAGCATGTAATAAGTGCCATATTCAGACAATGAAACACCGACAACAGAACAACAGACAGCAGAATGGAGTTATTAGAGATTAAGGATGTCTACGAAGTATATGTATGCAATGAATATAAAACATTCAGTATTAATGCCTGTATAGCTGAT